TCTGTGTGTGACTGTGTGTGTGTGTGTCTGTGTGTGTGACTGTATGTGTGTGTCTGTGTGTGTCTGTGTGTGTCTGTGTCTGTGTGTGTGTGTCTGTGTGTGTCTGTGTGTGTGTCTGTGTGTGTGTGTCTGTGTGTGTGTCTGTGTGTGTGTCTGTGTGTGTGTGTCTGTGTGTGTGTGTCTGTGTGTGTGTGTTTGTGTGTCTGTGTGTGTGTGTCTGTGTGTGTGTGTCTGTGTGTGTGTCTGTGTGTGTGTGTCTGTGTGTGTAGAAGATGCTGGGCGAGGTTCTGGCCCTGCAGGTGAAGCTGCTGAGGGGGGGCGCCGCCCCTCCCCCCCCCGGCCGGGACGTGGGGGGGGCCCGGCCCTGGGACGGGTGGCGGGGGGCACGGGAACTTCCCGGCCACTGGCTGCCCCAGCTGGTCACCACGCTCAGGTGGCGCTGGCGGCGGCGGTGGCGGTGGTGATGGTGGTGGTGATCGTGGTGGTGGTGGTGATGGTGGTGGTGGTGATGGTGGTGGTGATGGTGGTGGTGGTGATGGTGGCGGTGATCGTGGTGGTGGTGGTGATGGTGGCGGTGGTGATGGTGGAGGCTGATGGTGGTGGTGATGATGGTGGTGGTGGTGATGGTGGTGGTGATGGTGGTGGTGATGGTGGTGATGATGGTGGTGGTGGTGATGGTGGTGGTGATGGTGGTGGTGATGGTGGTGGTGATGGTGGTGGTGATGGTGGTGGTGGTGATGGTGGTGATGGTGGTGGTGATGGTGGTGGTGATGGTGGTGGTGATGGTGGTGGTGGTGATGGTGGTGGTGATGGTGGTGGTGGTGATGGTGGTGGTGGTGATGGTGGATGGTGGTGGTGATTGGGGATGGTGGTGGTGGTGATGGTGGTGGTGATGGTGGTGGTGATGGTGGTGGTGATGGTGGTGGTGATGGTGGTGGTGGTGATGGTGGTGGTGATGGTGGTGGTGATGGTGGTGGTGATGGTGGTGGTGATGGTGGTGGTGATGGTGGTGGGATGGTGGTGATGGTGGTGGTGATGGTGGTGGTGATGGTGGTGGTGATGGTGGTGGTGGATGGTGGGTGGTGATGGTGGTGATGATGGTGGTGGTGATGGTGATGGTGGTGGTGATGGTGGTGGTGATGGTGGTGGTGATGGTGGTGGTGATGGTGGTGGTGGTGATGGTGGTGGTGATGGTGGTGGTGATGGTGGTGGTGATGGTGGTGGTGATGGTGGTGGTGGTGATGGTGGTGATGGTGGTGGTGATGGTGGTGGTGATGGTGGTGGTGATGGTGGTGGTGATGGTGGTGGTGGTGATGGTGGTGGTGATGGTGGTGGTGTGATGGTGGTGGTGATGGTGATGGTGGTGGTGATGGTGGTGGTGATGGTGGTGGTGATGGTGGTGGTGATCGTGGTGGTGGTGGTGATGGTGGTGGTGTGATGGTGGTGGTGGTGCTGGTGGTGGTGGTGATGGTGGTGGTGGTGATGGTGGTGGTGATGGTGGTGGTGGTGATTGGTGGTGGTGATGGTGGCGGGGTGATGGTGGTGGTGATGCTGGTGGTGGTGATGGTGGGTGGTGATGGTGGGGTGGTGGTGATGGTGGTGGTGATGGTGTGGTGATGGTGGTGGTGATCGTGGTGTGGTGGTGGTGACTGGTGGAGGCTGATGGTGTTGGTGGGGGCGATAATGATGGTGGTGGTGATGATGGTGGTGGTGTGATGGTGTGGTGGTGTGATGGTGGTGGTGATGGTGGTGGTGGGATGGTGGTGGTGATGGTGGGTGGTGGTGATGGTGGTGGTGATCGTGTGGTGGTGGTGATGGTGGTGGTGATGGTGGTGGTGGTGTGGTGGTGGGTGGTGATGGTGGTGGTGGTGATGGTGGTGGTGATGGTGGTTGGTGATGGTGGTGGTGATGGTGGTGGTGATGGTGATGGTGGGCTGTGTGATGGTGGTGGTGATAGGTGATTGGTGGTGGTGATGGGGATGGTGATGTGGTGGTGATGGTGGTGGTGATGGTGGTGGTGGTGATGGTGATGATGAAGAGGATGGTGGTGGTGATGGTGGTGGTGATGGTGGTGGTGAGGATGGTGGTGATGATGATGATTCTGCTGATGTTGACGGTGATTGTGATGATGCTGATGATGGTGATGCTGCTGATGGTGCTGTGAAAGCTGCGGATGCTGATCATGATGCTGATGATGCTGCTGCTGATGCTGCTGCTGCTGATGCTGCTGCTGCTGATGCTGCTACTGCTGATGCTGCTGCTGATGCTGCTGCTGCTGATGCTGTTGCTACTGCTGTTGCTACTGCTGATGCTGCTGATGCCACTACTGCTGCTGCTGATGCTGCCGCTGATGCTGCTGCTGCTGGTGTCTCTGGCAGGAACTGCCTGGACTCTCTGACGGCGCTGGACCTGCCGAGCGACATGCTGCAAGGCCTCCACGACTTCGTCCTGGACCTGCGCGTCTACACCGTCGTCACCGTGCTGCAGCAGACGGCGCACGGTGAGACTTGGCCAGCGGCTACGCCGTGCCGGCACGATAGCAGCCGGGTCCCCAGACGCACTGAGGGAGCAACGCTGAGGTTCAAGGTTCGAGCCCTGGCTCCGAGTGTGTGCGTGCGTGTGTGTGTGCGTGTGTGTGTACGTGCGTGTGTACGTGCGTGTGTGCGTGAGTGTGTACGTGCGTGTGTACGTGCGTGTGTACGTGCGTGTGTACGTGTGTGTGTACGTGCGTGTGTACGTGTGTGTGTGCGTGAGTGTGTACGTGCGTGTGTACGTGCGTGTGTACGTGTGTGTGTACGTGCGTGTGTACGTGTGTGTGTACGTGCGTGTGTACGTGTGTGTGTACGTGCGTGTGTGCGTGCGTGTGTGCGTGCGTGTGTACGTGCGTGTGTGCGTGCGTGTGTACGTGTGTGTGTACGTGCGTGTGTGCGTGAGTGTGTACGTGCGTGTGTACGTGTGTGTGTACGTGCGTGTGTGCGTGCGTGTGTACGTGTGTGTGTACGTGCGTGTGTACGTGTGTGTGTACGTGTGTTTGTACGTGCGTGCGTGCGTGCGTGTGAACGTGCGTGTGTACGTGTGTGTGTACGTGCGTGCGTGTGTGCGTGCGTGTGAACGTGCGTGTGTACGTGTGTGTGTACGTGCGTGCGTGTGTCTTTGTACGTGTGGGGAGTGGTAGTGCAGCGGTTAGCGCGCTGCGCTATGAACCTGGCGACCCGGGTTCGATTCCCGCTCACGGCTAACACCAGTGACGATTATCTGAACCGGTCCTGGGCTTCCCCTAGGTCGACTCAGCCTCAAATTAGTACCTGGTGCGGTGTGTAAACATCGTCACTAGGGAGACAAAGGCGGTCGGGCGTGGTGCTGGCCACCCACCCCCTCGTGTACCGTTCCGGCCTTCATAGGTGCTCGCTAACAGCACTTGCCCCTACAGTCTGTTAAGGCTATATGGGGGATCTTTGTACGTGCGTGTGTGTGTGCGTGTGTGTGTGCGTGCGTGCAATTTGAACTTCTTTCGCACCGCCATATGTAGCCAAACCGCGCTCATCGAAGGTGTGGGGGGAAAGACAACAATCTAAACACAACAACAACAAGGAGTTCTCAAGAAATGGCTCTCTGTGTGAGTCTATGGGTCTCTGTGTGAGTCTATGGGTCTCTGTGTGAGTCGATGGGTCTCTGTGTGAGTCTATGGGTCTCTGTGTGAGTCTTTGGGTCTCTGCGTGAGTATATGGGTCTCTGTGTGAGTCTATGGGTCTCTGTGTGAGTCTATGGGTCTCTGTGTGAGTCTGTGGGTCTCTGCGTGAGTCTATGGGTCTCTGTGTGAGTCTGTGGGTCTCTGTGTAAGTCTATGGGTCTCTGTGTGAGTCTATGGGTCTCTGTGTGAGTCTATGGGTCTTTGTGTGAGTCTATGGGTCTCTGTGTGAGTCTATGGGTCTCTGTGTGAGTCTTTGGGTCTCTGCGTGAGTCTATGGGTCTCTGTGTGAGTCTTTGGGTCTCTGCGTGAGTCTATGGGTCTCTGTATGAGTCTTTGGGTCTCTGCGTGAGTATATGGCTTTGTGTGAGTGTATAGATCTCTGCGTGAGTCTATGCGTCTGTGTGAGTTTATGGGTCTCTGTGTGAGTCTATGGGTCTCTGTGTGAGTCTTTGGGTCTCTGTGTGAGTCGATGGGTCTCTGTGTGAGTCTATGGGTCTCTGTGTGAGTCTTTGGGTCTCTGCGTGAGTATATGGGTCTCTGTGTGAGTCTATGGGTCTCTGTGTGAGTCTATGGGTCTCTGTGTGAGTCTGTGGGTCTCTGCGTGAGTCTATGGGTCTCTGTGTGAGTCTGTGGGTCTCTGTGTAAGTCTATGGGTCTCTGTGTGAGTCTATGGGTCTCTGTGTGAGTCTATGGGTCTCTGTGTGAGTCTATGGGTCTTTGTGTGAGTCTATGGGTCTCTGTGTGAGTCTATGGGTCTCTGTGTGAGTCTATGAGTCTCTGTGTGAGTCTTTGGGTCTCTGCGTGAGTCTATGGGTCTCTGTGTGAGTCTTTGGGTCTCTGCGTGAGTCTATGGGTCTCTGTATGAGTCTTTGGGTCTCTGCGTGAGTATATGGCTTTGTGTGAGTGTATAGATCTCTGCGTGAGTCTATGCGTCTGTGTGAGTTTATGGGTCTCTGTGTGAGTCTATGGGTCTCTGTGTGAGTCTTTGGGTCTCTGTGTGAGTTTATGGGTCTCTGCGTGAGTCTATGGGTCTCTGTGTGAGTTTATGGGTCTCTGCGTGAGTCTGTGGGTCTCTGTGTGAGTCTATGGGTCTCTGTGTGAGTTTATGGGTCTCTCCGTGAGTCTGTGGATCTCTGCCCGTGAGTCTAAAGAAATTAGTTTGTCAATCTGGATGATGATATCGGAAGCAAGAGCATTCCAGACGGCCACAGAAGCGCATCAGAACGCGCCGTGCGATGCTGTGACCACCGTATTTGTTTGATGGCCAGCGCAACGGAGTGTCTTCCCTGTCTCTCTCACTCTCACAAGGGGTTCACATTGGCCGGGTCCCAGATATATCAAACTACAAATTATCACGTGGTTATGTATAGCAGCCAAATACTTTATAAACGTGTGTTTCTACAGACTTTGAACCATCTTATTTGACAGAAAACTATTGCAGGTTACTGACAGACAGCCAGTTTTGTTTCACCAGGTTTAGCTTTCTACCAGGTTAAGCTTTCTTTTTTCACACTTTTGTTATGCAGGCCAGGCGTAGTCACAAACCGAACCTCTCCATAATAAAGGCTCAGTCTTTTGTTATGCAGTCTATTCATAGTCTCAAGCCGCACCTTACCATAATAATAAAAAGTGGGCCATCCCTGCCCCCCCCCCCCCTCAACCATTATATATAAACGGAGTGCTAGCTCCTGCAATCTCTCATTTACGTGATACAGCTGTCGGGCTGTGACGGTTCCACCTGAAGACGGAAGCTTGTGTTGCCTCCGAAACGTCGTGATTTTTATTTTATTTTACTTTTGTTAATTTTAATGTTTTACCTACGTGACTTTACCGAAAGAACCTAAGAATATGAATCCTTGCAGTCACGAAAGCTTCAAATCTAAAATTTTACAGACTCATAGAGACTCATAAGAGAGCCACAGAGACCCATAATCATAGACACCCATAGACCCGCAGAGACCCATCGACCCACAGCAACCCATAGACCCACAGCAACCCACAGAAACCCATACACAAAACAAAAAATTTTATTTATCCAGGTAAGGCCCCACTGAACTACGTCGCTCTTTTTCAGAAGCGACCCAGCCATCAGGAATGATAGCTCAACCAAGTGACTCATCACCATCGTCGTCATCATCACACGGACATTTATAGCAGGAGCCGAATACTGTAAACGCGTGGTGACGTTGGTGCTTGATGTGGAGAGAAAGACCGGAGGACCCGGAGAAACATCCACGTGGCCACAGGGAGAAAACATTGCAGACTCCAAATTGACGGGCGCCAAAGTCGGGTTCCAACCTCCGCTCTGCTGTATACCAGGCGAGATATGAAACAACTCCGAGCCCAATCGTGGCACCGCATTATGGCGAGAACGTGGAATTGCAAGACTCACGAGCCAGAGACACAGAGCCAGAGACACAGAGCCAGAGACACAGAGCCAGAGACACAGAGCCAGAGACACAGAGCCAGAGACACAGAGCCAGAGACACAGAGCCAGAGACACAGAGCTAGAGACACAGAGCCAGAGACACAGAGCCAGAGACACAGAGCCAGGGGCACAGAGCCAGAGGCACAGAGCCAGAGGCACAGAGCCAGACGCACAGAGCCAGACGCACAGAGCCAGAGACACAGAGCCAGAGACACAGAGCCAGAGACACAGAGCCAGAGGCACAGAGCCAGAGACACAGAGCAAGAGACACAGAGCCAGAGACACAGAGCCAGAGACACAGAGCCAGAGACACAGAGCCAGAGACACAGAGCCAGAGACACAGAGCCAGACGCACAGAGCCAGACGCACAGAGCCAGACGCACAGAGCCAGAGACACAGAGCCAGAGACACAGAGCCAGAGACACAGAGCCAGAGACACAGAGCCAGAGACACAGAGCCAGAGACACAGAGCCAGAGACACAGAGCCAGAGACACAGAGCCAGAGACACAGAGCCAGACACACAGAGCCAGAGACACAGAGCCAGAGGCACAGAGCCAGAGGCACAGAGCCAGAGACACAGAGCCAGAGACACAGAGCCAGAGACACAGAGCCAGAGACACAGAGCCAGAGACACAGAGCCAGAGACACAGAGCCAGAGGCACAGAGCCAGAGGCACAGAGCCAGAGACACAGAGCCAGAGACACAGAGCCAGAGACACAGAGCCAGAGACACAGAGCCAGAGACACAGAGCCAGAGACACAGAGCCAGAGACACAGAGCCAGAGGCACAAAGCCAGAGGCACAGAGCCAGAGGCACAGAGCCAGACGCACAGAGCCAGACGCACAGAGCCAGAGACACAGAGCCAGAGACACAGAGCCAGAGACACAGAGCCAGAGACACAGAGCCAGAGGCACAGAGCCAGAGACACAGAGCAAGAGACACAGAGCCAGAGACACAGAGCCAGAGACACAGAGCCAGAGACACAGAGCCAGAGACACAGAGCCAGAGACACAGAGCCAGAGGCACAGAGCCAGAGGCACAGAGCCAGACGCACAGAGCCAGACGCACAGAGCCAGAGACACAGAGCCAGAGACACAGAGCCAGAGACACAGAGCCAGAGACACAGAGCCAGAGACACAGAGCCAGAGACACAGAGCCAGAGGCACAGAGCCAGAGGCACAGAGCCAGAGACACAGAGCCAGAGACACAGAGCCAGAGACACAGAGCCAGAGACACAGAGCCAGAGACACAGAGCCAGAGACACAGAGCCAGAGACACAGAGCCAGAGACACAGAGCCAGAGACACAGAGCCAGAGACACAGAGCCAGACACACAGAGCCAGAGACACAGAGCCAGAGGCACAGAGCCAGAGACACAGAG